ATAATTTCTTTTAGTAGAAAATATACTAAGCAAATCTATGCAATTTTTTATTTAATTTTTTATACGTAATTTTTTATTTCTGCCAAAAATTAAAAAAACGATACAGTGAAATTATAAAACTCATCATGATTCTAAAAAATAAATGGATATTTCTCCCTATGGTAACAAATGAGAAAAATTGTTAAAAAAGCTGATAAATAGAATTTCAAACAAGACTCTTCTAGTAACAATATATCTTGAATCTCCGGGAGGGACACTAGAACTCGGCGTGGCACAGCTGGCAGCCATCCGAGCCGACACACAACTACAGCACCTAACGAAATAGAAAATACCATTATTCTTCCCGCAAGACAAGGAGGCGTTCGACCAACGTTATTTATAACCAGGTTTGTTTATCACAGGACACGATGCAGTCGATATGTTGACCAATACGAAGACAAATCTTAAACTGTTTGCAAGTGGCTCGATGCTTTGTCTGGAATCTCTTGGATAAAGAGTTATAGGGCAATATTTTAAAAATAGGAAGGAAAATACTACTTTACTACCTTTGTATTTTACTCCGAAACTGCAAAATTATCTAAGGATAATAATTAGTATAACATCTAAGTCAATATTAGCTATACCAATCTGTGCTCCAATTATCCTGAAACATTGTCTTATTTTGAGGTTACATAAAATGTAAACAAAAAGAATATCTCAAGTAGTATAATCGGTATAAAAACCAAAAATAAATGTGAACACATCCATTGTCATTAGCGAAAACAAATATTATTCTCCCAAACAACGGAATTAGTCCGCAAGGCAACAATTCACTGGTCAGAATAACCATTATTCTGTCATTATCGTTAGGCCCGACATGTGAACTCGGGCAAAAATCGCACACACATAATCTCACAAACGTTTTGCGATCGAGTTTTTATAGTGTCTCTGGCAGTTTTTTATGGGGTACTAGAAATTTAATACTAATGGGAAGCGTTTTTACACATTACAGTGTAACTGTGTAGATTATCGACGTCGATCAATTTTGAACAAAGGAAAGTAAATGAATGTAGCATTTCTTCTTGCATTCACTCGCTCTTCGAACATTAAACATTTAAGATACATCTAGCAGTCCAGATATAGTTGAAGTTTCTCGTATTCACATATGGATCAAATAAAAGTTTAACTTTCACACAAACTCAACTTATGGATTCGGTAATGTAAAAATCGAAAAGTAAGATTTTGTTAAATTGTAGATTTTTTTACTATAGAAAACTTCCTTGTAATGTGATCATATCGTTCACTTCGCACTTCGCTTGTTTATTATTTATTTATTTTCGTATTTGCTCGAAAGTACTTAATACCGATTTCTCTTACATCAGCTTTATTGTGGGTAATAAATATTTATGAAGACAATGTTTCTGATATTATCCCCAGGGCGGGGACTCAAATGTGTTGTTGATAAACAAATTTATAAGTAACTACAAAACTTTGATGGCAGGCAGACAGTTCTCAAACTATATAAGGGAGAAACAGTTCAGTAAAATACGTTATTACTCTTGCCATCAGAATGCTTTGAATTAAGCTACATCTAATTCATTATAAAGAAAACAGGACTGAAAAAATTCCAGAGTTACTCAGAGAAAACCTCGATGTGAACACAGCTGCTTGCTTCATTTTAGTTCAAATTTAATTTGTTGAAAAATTCAAAATGTTACTGATACCATATACATATTAAAAAGATAATTTGCGGGAACCAATTTACTCCAAGCCCAAACGCAAATTGAGTAAGAATTTGTAAGTGATATATTTCATGACCAGACGCTCGTTTCTCTGGTCCATAGCAATCTTGGGGCATTCAAATTGATGGCAAGGGTACGTTTCACCATTAGAGGGGACTTATTAATTCCCCTTTCGACAGGCCGACCGAGGAGGCAATAAATTCACCTCAACCAAAGGGATGACCAATTTCAGAACATTTACGAGCCACAAATTACGCGACCGCTGAAATATACTGGGCTATGGACGAAGAACGAAGGGCAAGCGAGAGAAAAAGCCCAAATGTTAATTTAATGTTAAGAGCTAGAGAAAATCGTCGGAGTCCTCGAGATGAGAAAAATATTAGACGCTATCCGCAAAGGTCCGGTGCTAATTTTATGCAGGGTAAATGAGCCGAGAGCGGTTCAGCTGACGATCGAATCGATATTCATTTCACTAAGCGTATCGTTAATTTCTTGCGGAAAATGACACCACGCACATTATTAACTAATAACGTAGTCTGTAACTTAATAAATTTATAAAAATTAGAATTATTTCCACACAGCGAGAGCTTCTATTTACGCTTGTGCAATTTAATTTGTTAAAACGCCCAAAATGTTTTGTTTGCATTCATTTTTGCAAACAACACACAATAGGAATGGACAGCCGACATTACAGTAGATTGTAAACAGCAAATTTATTTATCCGACACCTTTATATTTTACTACCATCTGAATTGCGGCGTTTTATCATGGCCCATGCCAAATATTTTCGCCGTTCTCCGTATCAAAGCTCGTGTAAGTGATGATATGAAAAAGAGAAAACAAAACATTCGGCAAGTTTGTGCTTTTAATGGCAGTTTTATTTGTTCGGCTCGATATATCTGAGTCAGTTCGGCAACGTAGTGAGCTAACTGTTTTATCACTTTATTGCATGAGATCGCATAAACTTACGAGGGCAATAAAATGTTACTATAGGGAAAATAGTTTGGACAGTTTGTTGCGAGGCGTAATCTAGAAATCAGTACGATATATCTTACTGTTGTTGTATATAATTTCTTCTCATATTTTAGGAACAAAATGAAACAGATAGGCATTAAGTCCGCTAAAATTTCGCAGCACAAACAAAAGTTTTTTGTCTACCCTTTTCTCGCTTTCTTAAAGTATAAAGTTATTACCCAAAGGCAAAAAAAAATTAAGTTAAGTGTATATTTCTGTCCAAAGTACTAGAGAACGATTATAATTATATCGTAGGGTCAAAATTTTTCAGGGGAACATATTTTAGATTTTAACGACTGTTTTAGAATATTTTCGTCTTATTTTTAAATTCAATTTTGGTTTTAATTAAGTTAAAATTTTAAATTTGTGTTTAATATATGGTTAAATATTTTTAAAACAGTCGTGAAAAACTAAAACATGCTCCCCTGAATTGTTTTTCGAAACGGAGTTTTCGCCATTTCTACAAAACGCCGACGATATAAGTAATTATTATTACTATAATATATATAAATAAAAATACATTATTTATCCACAAAACACATTAACCAAATATAAGCGAACAATTACTAAAACAATAAACAGTAATGAAGACAAAAACGATGAAAACTCAGCATTGCTGATTGTCAGTATTCACCTACAACTATTCGCTTGCTGCATCAGACATATTATTACAGTCACTAGGACTCATTAAAAAAAAATAGTTCTGCTTCGTCTCACTACTACACAGTGAAATGTTCACCTCTGTTGTTAGCACAGCATGAAACATCAAAGTGACAAGTGATTTGATAATATGAACGTGTCCTTATAGTATCGAGGCAATACTTGTAACACAAAAATAAAAGCTCCTAACTACGACGCGCCTCATCATGATACTTAATTGCTCTATCTTGCTCTCACTCATTTACTTTTTAGGACGGGCGGCCATTTCCACGTCACAAATGATTCTGCGGGTCGGCCCGCAGTATCTCTGTCATGGCTGCCCGCGTTCGAAAATTGAATTTAATTAGCTCCCGCACAAAACGGACCGCGCCAGTCGCTTTGCGTGTTACATTTCCACTTTGTTTATATTAATTTTCTACTGTCTGTGGTTGCCAGTATCCGAAGTTTTAAATCTCGATTGCTACATTATTCTTGCTTCTATAATAAGAACTACTAAGGCCAAATATCAGGCTGAATACTGAAATTTGATTCAATGCAAAAACTTGTACATAGTAACACATATTAGTGGTTTAGTTGGCATAGCGTACGTACCTGGTACGGTTTGCTGGAAGACGTTGGTTCGAATCCAGCCGGATCGAACGAATTTTTTCTAAGTGTTTGAATTAATAATTATAACAATCTAGTGAAGTAATTTCACAATAAATAAATATTTATTTACGTCAATAAATTTTATTTATTTATCATAATAATAATTGAATATCATGGTGGTGAAACATCTTGACATTCAATAAACATAAAAAATTATTAATAATACTTTTAAACAAATCAAAAAACATTCAAATATTTACATTATTATATCCATTATTAAAGCAATGGAAAAAAATTTTACAGAATTAATGTCGCTGTGGGAGGATTACTCATTTCGCTAATTGGAGCATCCTGTTAACGCCATATTCTTCGTTAACTAAAGTGTTTTCCTAGTAAATGAGGAAGTAGTAAGTTGTACATATTTATTTGTAACAGCAACGTGTATATTTATACTTCATTTAACAAAAAAATGTTAGTATTGAAATCGTCTTGCCACAAAGCTCAGCGGCCTTAAAATTCTACAAAAACCAATTACTAATCGCCCCAGCACGTTCGAGAAACTTCCTTTCTGGTCACCTGATCAAACTTTCTGACCACGACTTCGGAACAATCAAGACGTTCAAAGGATGCCAATTGGATTAAGTAGTAGTAACTTTAGCCTAAGAACTTAGACAGATTGCACTACCTTGCCAGATGCTTTACGGATTTAGTGCGGCTTACTATTTCTGCGAAAAACACTGAAACTTTATTTTTTTCCATGGCGTTTTAATCTTTTTCTTTCTAATATTGGTACTAACAGAATAAGGCGTTGTGCTACCTACTATTACATACAAACTATTTACGACGCAATATCCATCTTCCTCGAAACGATATCTTCGTTGAAAGCAAAGGCCCTTCTATCAAAAATCCGTAGAAAACGATCTCTCGTAACTTTTCGGTACTTGACTTCATTGTAATAAAAATATACTAGACCCTACTCCAAATACAAATAGTGCATAGTAAAATCATATATCTTACCTTAGAATAGGGTTCTTCCTGACGAGTGCTTTTCAGAAAGTCGTAGAATATGCAAAGGGGCAGGACCATTATGCCTGGCTCTTTACATAATGTGGCGGCGACGGCAAAAAGTAGAGTCCCCGCTAGAGTCAACCACTGTAGCAGTTCACTAGTGTCTTCACTGGCACTATCACTGTATTGACACTTTAGTCTCAAATTGTCTGATTTCATCTCACAAGCATCCAACATTTTCATCGGTCCAACTTTTCCAGCTTTCAGAAGCCTCCGAAAGTTCATCATAATTTGCTGCACGAGGCCATGACAGCTTAACCGAAACGGCTGTTCGCGTATTATATTCGGTCGATGTAGAAAGGAATTCTTTGAGATATGTCGACATGTACGTCTTTGACTTTGCTCTCTCAGGCGAATATGTTCGCTGTAAATAAGGAAACTAAGGAGGAAAAAGTTGCAAGCGGCGAGATCGGCTCGACCAACCACCCCAGCTACGGCTTCCGTATGTATGGGATGCGAAGCGAAGGTCAATCCAGCGACAATGGTGCCGACTCGAACACAGTATTGCGGTAAAATCCTTCTCGCTGTTGTGACCACCAAGGCCGTTGCGAGGCAATGGAATAGAATATTTAGAAAATGATAGCTCCATGGCTTGAAGCCGCTGAAAGCATAGTTGAGCCGATATGTAGCGACACATAATGGTCTATAGGAGCCGTGTGAACCGTGGTCTGCGAGCGGTGTTCCCCAGAAATCGTTTTCGAATAAAGCCTCTATCGGTGTATGCCCGATGACGTCCGGGTTGGAGAGGATCGCCCGCCTGCAAAATAAAATTTCACAGTTAAACTCCATTCCATTTTTGGTGAAAAACTATTTTTTCAGTAAATCGATAACGGGCTGCACCAGTACTTTTTGGGAACGGAAACAACAAACGTATTACATATAAGCATATTTTTATTTAAACTTCCAGTAAAGAAGTTGTGAACTATATTAAAATAAAAAGGAGGATCGAGTATGTTTACGACCAGTCCACTTCAGATTTGCAAAAGAAATGGCATTGGATTGGCGGTCCTACCTAAAGTACGAGCTCGAACTGAACAGCCGGCTATTTGATCAACACTTGTGGTGTCATTGTCTACTACCAATCAAAGTCCACTTAGACGATCGATTTAAAAGCATATCGCTTCTTCGTAACGAGTCAGTAATAACTATCACTTAGTTACACAAAGTACGAAATAAAAAGGTTTATTTATATAACTACACAAGTAAACGTAGCAGCTTAATGGTGAAAAAAGATTGCTATTGTTTTTACCAGGGGAATTGCACAACTAAGTCTTTATAGATAATGTGCCTTTCTTAAAATTTATTAATTATACTTTAAACCTTACAATTAATAATACTAAACAATGTAAAAAATCTATATAGAGTGTTTAAATTAGGTTTTGGTTTGTCCAAATACCACTTGCATAAACGGTAATAGTAAACACGCAAATGAAACCTGCATGTTGGAGAAAGGTCAAATAATTCTTCGAAAGCTTTCTTTGAGAGTGTTAAAGATGAGAAAGAAGTAAAGTGGTAATGATAATGTTTAATATGAAAGCGAATATAAGAGATTAGATTTTGAACTTGAAGCTTTGTCGTTCTGCATACATTACTAAAGGTAGTCTGAGTCCAGGTTACTGCGACCTTTTTAACTTATAATCTAATTTATGGACAATTGCATCTTGTAATATGAACTTTGAAGAAGATTTTGCGCTCCCTATTATTTGCATACAAAAACTGATGATACCTATCTAACCAATTGTATCCAAATTGGAAAAAAAATCAAAAAACGCTTATTACGAGCCTTTATAATTATACCAATTGTCAATAAAGAGAGTTGCTTACAAAGTTTGCTGTTTTAATTCAGACTAATTTGTTTGTGAAATTCAACCACGTTTTCAGTTCTACGATATAGTTACTATCCTAACCTAATTATAACAGAAGTAGCAGTTTATAACGGAGGTAGCAGTAGAGCTGTTTGTGAATGAGTTCGTCCAGGGGAATTAAGCCACCTTACCTATTTCTGCCGCTAAGCAATAACGTGACCATTTCTGAGTTTCGATTTTATAAAGTGAAATTACAAACACATGGGACCCAGATCTTTGCGTTTTAAAGCTCTGAATGGCACTGCAACTGTTATGGCCCACAACTTGATCGTCCTGTCGCTTGGTAACATAAAAAACTACTAAATGTAACTAAGTGACCGTATATTTGTTATGTAATTTACATTAAGTGATCTTCCATCTACTTTAACTTTTCGGACATTTTCCGCTATTTCGATGCAAACCTTCTTTTTTTATAATATCAACTGACGGGACGAACAACTTATGCGCCTGATTACTTAGAACTTTATATTGCAAAGATCTGAGGGGCATTGCCACTACGGCCATCACACAGAAATCTAAATAAATAGGCACTAGAAGTGTAAACAACACTAATTTCTTCGAAAACGAGTGTCGCCATTTGTCCGCCACCCGCGCTCCCACTACTACATATACACAAATATCCAAACGTAATCAAACGCACATTCTTCATGTCAGTGCACAAAATTCTTCTTCTTGTAATTCTTCTTCTTCTACTTCTTGTTGTAGGGTTAAAGACATCTTCATTAAAATATAATGAACAAATCTAATATAGCTCGTGGGGAAACCAGTTCTTTTTACCTGTTGTGGATATCCAGTTGTCTTTAACAATGAACTGTTTAAGGCAACTCAAAACAAAAAATATTTACGTATATTTCCTTCTCATTCTATTAAACATATGTATGAAAAGTAAATGATGTAATTCACTTCAACTTTGACACTTATTTAGATTTATCAGCTTTCTAGAACGTTTTATAGTTTAAAGAAATAGATACTTAATTTGTTGCATGCACAAAACACTTATGTCGATAATTTATCAAAATAAAAAATATGTAGTTATATCATTAGCTCACAATTGCAATATTCACAAAAATTACGATATCGGAGATGATGTATTTATTACATTGCTCCGTGCGATTTGTACATAATAGATATTAAAGCAGCAATGGTATCTTCATATTGACGACAACACGAGTGAACTGATTTATATAATGATTTTTTTTTAATAAAAACAGCATTAGTACTTTAAAATAAATGTACCGGTAAAATGTAATTCACTTATTAGTATTATTACAGGTTGTGGAAGAGTTTCCGCAATTAAAAATGCTGCAAAACACTATTTTTACACACTGCTTTACTTCCGAAGATTCTAACAATACTGAAGACAGCAAGTGCCATAAGTGTCACCTGCGCGACGACCGCAAGTATGCACCTCCTGACCCTGAGACATAATTTTTATTTGCCAGTTATTTAACATCCTTCAAAACCGAAACGCATTAATACTCATATGTACATTGTTCACATTACTGTATGGCGGCTGAAACAGGTAAGGTGGCAGTACTTCCCTGGGCGAACTCTTTCACAAGGAGCTCTTCTGCTCAAAATCTAACCACCTTTGTTTGTCATAACGTAACTTGCATCCAAGTAGACCCAGTGACTTTTTTGACCCACCATGAAATATCGTTTAATGTTATACGTATACAGGGTGTAATCGTTAAGTGTGCCCAGGCGATTATTCCGTAAATATAACAGATATCAAAAAGCTTTAAACTGATATCGAAGTACGTTACCTAATGAGTAATTTGACATCAATATTTTTTTTTTAATAAAACTAACATATCCAAAATTTTAACGTTAAACACTCCCATATATTTAGTATGTATTAATATAATAAGACATTCGTAGGGAGGCTTTAGTTGACCTACTTTAAGAGGTAACAATAAGTTTACAGATAATAAAACTGCTATGAATAAAGTAATAAAACTTTCAATTGAATAAAATATAATGGCATAGTCAATTATTTGGTCAAATGTGAGTTGTCTATACACGAGTAAATGAATAAAATTTATCAAAATTTTCATCATTCCATTGTATGTGACGAAATAAATAGGGATAGCAGAAAATGTTTTTCATACAAAATGAATAAAATTGACATTTTTTTATGCTGAGACTCAGTTTGTTATGAGAAGATTTTATTGTATTAGAAGAAAAGAATCGGGACAGCAGAAGTTGGTCAAATTTAATAAAATGTTGTTCATTTTGTATAAAAAAACTTTTTCATTACATTTGAATGTCATTGAATTTGTTTGAATTACTATTCAATTATTTTTGTGAAATTACTCCACTAGTTTGCTATAATTATTACATTTGAATGTCATGTTAAATGTATGAGAGCGCTTAGTGTTAAAATTTTTAATATTTGTAGTTTTTTTTTAAGTTATTTACGTCGATTTACTCATTAGGTAACATACTTTTTATATCAGTTTAAAGCTTTTTAATATTTGTGGAATAATCGCCTGGGCACACTTAACGATTACACCTTGTATATTATATTTCTTATAATCATATTTCATTGTTAACCACGACTGCCGCAGAAAATCGTACAAGGTACCGCACATTTTTACCGCAAAAAAGTATCTCGATAACCTTGCTCGCTTTACGCACATTTTTCATTAGACTTGATTAAAAAACTTTCTTCGAGTAATTTTGTTAAATTTTTGCTGTTGAATGAAATAATTAGAAGGTTAGATTTTTTACACGTTTTTTCTTTGTGCCCTTCGAGCCCTTTGTAATTCAATTCACAGCGAAAAAAATATCAAACGTTACATCTAGGTTATCTGAAGCGCTATAAACGCTAGTCATAATTAAAATCAGTTTAAATACAGGCTTCGGAGATCGGGGCAAATTAGCTTGGGAATTTTATTTACAGCGACGATTTCTTCGAAATCATTACACGGTTCGTTAGTCGTCCGTTTTTCAAGCATCCTACTAAATAAAAAGCCTCGTCGACTCTTTTATTATTTTACCCATTAAATGTAACTCTCTATAAGCGAAAATCGTTACGGTAAAATCCTTTCCCAGTGAGTAAAAACATCCATTCTTTATCGGTGCATCAAAATTTATTACATCCAATATGACAAAGAACAAATCCAAACACGCGTCGGGAACTGCTTAATTTGAATAAAATATTACCGCCTTACCTGGGCGCTGGAGGATGAGCAAAGGCGGGCGCGTCCGGACTCGGATCTCATTCAATGTTTTCCCGAACGATTGGCTCGTTGCCCTACGGCCCGGCTCCCTCAATACCGTCTAAATAATGGACACGTTTAAACGTACCAATCGTTCCTCTGGGATTGATTTTCTGAGCCTTATATTTGACGGTTTTCGGACGATGTGTGAGCTGCGAAGTCGTTCAAACGACTGGCATGCCGGAATCGTCTGTGTATGCCCATTGGCGTGTGAAGCTACAATTCAAACCTCTCACATCGCACTCAATTTTGTCTAGAAATTGATTGTGCTCCTTCAGCTACGTTTAGCTATCTGGAGAGTGAAAATGGTATAAAGAATAATGGTCTACAAGCTCTGCTAGAATTTATCACTGGAATTTATGCAAACAGCCAAATTTCAATTACAGACGCTTTGTACTTTATTACTTTTTGTTTACAGTTCTAAATTACTGTTTTAAATGTAAATCCTAATAAAGTTCGTTTTAAAACCCTTGTCATGTGAATAGCTCATTATTTTTCCTTGTTTTAATTCTTAACACTTCAGCGTATTATAAACTCTAAATTTCTATTGTACCTGAATAGGGTTTAAATCCTATAACTCTCAGCAACTTTATACTAATCAATCACACATATGCTCCGATGTTAATATTCTTGCATTATTCGAAAATCCCTTCTCTCAATATTCCAGG